TTCAATAGCTTTTTCAATTTAAGTCCTGGTTTCATCACAATCATGTATCTCGTCGCTATTTTGTTGCAGATGTTTCATTTTTTCCTCTCATTCCCATCATCTTTTGCAACAATATAAGCCATTAGTGTGAAATATGCATAAGCAAATATACAAGGTAAATTCCCTGAAAAACAGATATTTTAAAACAGTTACATATTACCCAAATAGTTCAAATATACACATCAAAGTCATGTCCGGATATGCGGGATTCCGGATATGAGGTACTCTGGATATTAGGAAATCCGGATATGAGGGATTTTACTCTATATACTAGAAACCACAAGATAATGTGGTATTCAGAAATCCCCACATCAACAAATCGGATTTGAAATTGTAAAGAAATCTAAAGAAATCAAATAGAAATAAAAAAAAAATAATAAAAAACGGTACACGTATAGATTTACACATTTTTTTTGTGTGTGTGTGTGTGTGTGTGTGTGTGTGTGTGTGTGTGTGTGTGTGTGTGTGTGTGTGTGTGTGTAACGAATGTTTCCTAGGATTAAATCACCGTTGCTTAGCATGTAAGCCAGAAGCCATTTTCGCTTTCTCACTCACTGCTCTTATGATATGATGTCATAAAAAGGCAAGGTAAGAGATCCCACGCTTTTAAAGTGCTGATTAAGCGACTCTGTTACTTTGTACCAATTTTTTTTCAGAACGAAAGGGACTTTTTGGTAACTTGATACTTTGTATTCAATTCTCATTTGTCTTACGTTAAGATTACTATCTTCTTTCTTTCTTTCTTTCTTTCTTTCTTTCTTTCTTTGCTCCCTCCCTCCCTCCATTCTTTCCTTCCTATCTTTATTTATGACTTTTCTTTTCCTGTATGCCTCGTTCTTTTTCTTCCTCATTTATTGTTTTCTTTCTTCTTGATATGTTTTTTTTCATTTTTCTTTTTTCTTTCTTTTTGCATTTTTTCTCTAAATTTTTCTTCGTCCTTTCTATATATTTTTCTCCTTTTGATACAACTTTTTCATTCCCTCTTTCTTTCTTTGGTTCCTTCTTTCTATTTTTCAGTCTTTCTCTCTTCATTCGTTTCTACTTTCTTTCTTTCTTTCTTTCTTTCTCTCACTTTCTCTCTTACCTTCGTTCATTCTTTCTTTAGCCTATTCTTTCTTTCTTACTGTTTTTTGATTTCTTTCTCTTCTTGTCTTTCTTTTGTACTTGTCTTTCTTTCTTTCTTTCTTTTCTTTTTTTATTTCTTTTGTGCTTGTCTTTCTTTCTCTCTGACCCATGTGTCCTTGAATATGGCAACGAAGATGACGATAACAGTCCGAATAATGTAAATAATACAAGTAATCATAATACCTGATCTCAGAGATATAGACAGAAACTGTTATTAATCATCTTAACTTCCAGGAGGGCCACACCCTTCGCCTTCTTGCTTTTTTTTTTTTTTTTTTTTTGTTTTTTTTACTCACATGGAGTTAAATAATTATATTCAATCAATTGCTCAGTCTGTGGATAGGAAAGTTGGCCCACTATATGGTGCTAGACAATTTTCCTCGCTAGAATCTATCTGATATATCTATCATTCATCCGTGCATCGAATATTGTTGTCACGTCTGGTTTGGTTTCATATCTAGAGATTCTTGACTATTCAGCAATATTATAGATCCTGACCTGGCAACTCATCTTCATTTCCTTTCTCATCCCCGTCACGTAGCTTGTCCTTGCCATTTCTATAAATACTTTCACGCGTTAATTGTTCTGATGAATTTTCCTAGTTGGGACCTGGACTTCCAGAATTTAAATTCAGTACCAAGTTGACAGTTAGGTCTCATAATTCCACTGTTGAAATTGATCGATGTAACCGTAGTGCTATATTGATAGGAGCTGGGCTAAAATTATTCGATTATGCAAAATCAATTAAAGATAACGAATGTTCTTGCTTAAGGATTTCTTTCATTTATTTTTTACATATATATTTCGGTTGATTTTCCTGGTTTCTGGTGAAACTTAAAATACAATAGAATCCCTGACAACCGGACTAAGAAGGAATTCCGGATATGAGGAATTGGTTACAAAGTCCGGATATGAGGGGTTATATTTAGATTAAAATAAAAGGATTAAATCAGTTTTAACATTTATTTTCAATGTTTTTTTTATAGAAAACAAAATAAGCTAATGGTGAGTGAAATATAACGGAATTGGTTGTAAGGAAAAAAAATAAATTATGTAATGTTAAAGAAAATTCATTTAATTAAGTATGCCACATATGCAAAACAATGCAACGAAGATTTTTTTAATCGCTGTTGCATGATGATTCTTTTTCTTCTAATGTCATTCTCAACTTTTTCCGCATTTCGTTTTACTTTTGTTCTTGAATTTTTTTTTAAATGAAAGGCACTTTTTAACTCTGCGCGCGTATCGTCATAGCTGAATGCTGGCATTCTTTCCATAAAACTGACAACCATTTCAATAGCTTTTTCAATTTCAGTCCTAGCTTCATCACAATCATACATCTCATCGTTATTTTGTTGCAGATGCGACTCGTTGTCACCCTTTCCATCTTTTGCACCAATACAAGCCAATTAGGGTGAAATAAGCATAAGCAATTATCCAAAGTAAATTTCCTGAAAAACAGAAATTCCAAATCAGTTACATATCACCCAAATAGTCAAAATATACACATCAAAATCATGTCCGGATATGAGGCATTCCGGATATGCGGGATTCTGGATATGAGGGATGCTACTGTATATCTTTTTTTCAAATATCAGTAAATAGGTAGACATATACATTGTTCAAATATCAGTGTGTAGGTAGGCGTAGGTCAGCTCTACACTAGGATTAATAAGGTACATATTAGTCCGGATTACACTAGCGTCAGAAAAAGGTAGACATAGGCTCAGTTTACAACCGGGTAAAAGGTCGACACGTTTCCAGTTAACATGAGTCTACTACTATTCATCCGGAAGGAAGTCTGTCTGGGATGCAGACGACAAGGTAGTTGAAAAAAGAAAGATAGTAAGAAAAAGGCTGAGATAGATCTTAGCCAGATAAAAGTACAGAGAGAGAGAGGATAGAGAGAGGAGAGAAAGAAAGAGAGAGAGAGAGGAGAGAGAGAGAGGGGAGAGAGGAGAGAGGAAAGAAAGAGAGAGAGGAGAGTGAGAGAGAGGAGAGAGAGAGGAGAGAAAGAAAGAGAGAGAGGAGAGAGAGAGGAGAGAAAGAAAGAACGAGAGGAGAGGGAGAGGAGAAAGAGGAGAGGAGAGGGGAGAGAGGAGAGAGGAGAAAAAAGAAAGAGAGGAGGAGGGAGAGAGGGGAGAGAGAGGAGAGAAAGAAGAGAAAGAGAGAGGAGAGGGGAGAGTGAGAGAGGAGAGAGAGAGGAAAGAAAGAAAGAGAGAGGGAGGAGAGAGAGGAGAGTGAGAGAGAGGAGAGTGAGAGAGAGGAGAGAGAGTGGAGAGTGAGAGAGGAGAGAGAGAGGAGAGAGAAGAGAGAGGAGAGAAAGAAAGAGAGAGGAGAGGAAGAGGAGAAAGAGAGAGGAGAGAGAAAGGGGAGAGTGAGAGAGGAGAGAGTAAAGAAAGAAAGAGAGAGAGGAGAGAGAAGAGAGTGAGAGAGGAAAGAGAGAGGAGAGAGAGAAATGATGAGGCAAACAGAGGCAATAAACAAGAGTAATGAAAGCTTTACATTTTTAAGAGAATTAATTAGATTTAAATTTTAATGATTTTTTTCTTACTGCTTACCACCCATTTTCAGATTATTTAAAGCCAGAAAATATTTTTAGACTGTAAGACATTTTCGGAGATAATAATGATTTCTTAATAAAATTCATACTAATTAAACTATAGCTAGGTGGAGAGATGAGATAGATTCATAGTTGTCCCAATTATATTTGCATGTAAAGGAATATTGCAAACCCGACCGGAATTGAAACTCGGCCCTCCTATCAACATATCAGAGCCGTTATCCATTACACCACCCGCACATCCAAGAATGCAGAACTTGGTATTCCCAAATGATTTCTCATCTAGATACTGACCAGGCTCTACCTTGCTTAACTTCGGTGATTGTACTAGAGCCGGTGTTTGAACAGAATTAACTGTCTATATACGCCCGATGTTACAGATTTTCGGGGGCAGACTTATAGACTGAAAGGGGAATCAGGTGCTAAGCGTTAGAAGATCACTCAAGCCTTTTTATCACTCATTTTTTCGCAGAGGTGGTTTTTAGCAGGAGGTGGGGAGGTGATTCATATGAGGGGCTTGTCTGGCATCGCCATCATCAGCTTAAAACTTTGATTTAGCGTACACTCCTTATCAAACCTTTGATTCTACCAAAAAGGTCCGTCTCTATGTTGAAGGATGTCACATTAACAAGAAAATGGCTGAAAAAAAAAGCAAGAAAATCCTTCTAAATGTTTGTATGAAATAAGGAAAGCAAAAGCGAGAGGAAAGAAAAAAAAGAGGAAAGAAAAAGAAAGAGAGCAAGGAAATAAAATAAAGAAAGAAAGAAAGGAAGTAAATATAGTAACAATGGAAAGAATGACGGAATGAAGAAGAAAAGAAAACCTGCTAAAAGAAAGAAGGAAAAGAGAAAGAAAGAGTGATAAAAAGAAGGAAATAGTAAAAAGTAGGAAGGAAATGACGAAAAGAAAGAAAAATAGTAAAAATAGAAAGAATGACGGAATGAAGAAAAAGAAAGAAAAATGTTAATAGAAAGAAGGAAAAGAGAAAGAAAGAAAGTGGTAAAAAGAAGGAAATATTAAAAGGTAGGAAGGAAAAGAAAGAAAGAAAGAAAGAAAGAAAGAAAGAAATGTTAAT